TACACAACTAGTTGTACATCTTACCTTATAAGACATTTGGATTTTCTATAACTAGCTTAGATTCATAAAATTAATTGTCTTTGATAATTTTCTTTTCTTACTATCTTATCTGGTCTAGGTATGCCAATTTCACTTTCTATGAATGGTTTTTAATTGCAATATTTGTGGTATTTTATTTATTGTTTTATAAGTATAACCAAGAATTATTATCCTATACTCCTAATAAGCATTTGAATAAAGAACTTTTTAATGTACTACGCATGACCATCTCTTCCAAAGTAGCATATATTGTTGTTATATCTGATCCTACCTCTTGCGAGTTATAAAAAAATTCATTTTTTTACGCCTAAATTTTGTACACGATCCTTGAATTGATTGAATATTTTTATTATTTTATCACTAGCATGTTTTCTCTCTTCGTGCCTATAGGTTTTTAAGCAAATTAGATAAGGAATATAGCTAGATATAAATTGAATTATAATGCGTTATATATCGATTTAGCCAAAAATAATTAAAAAAATAAGTGTGTAAGGGAAAACTATTGTTTTTGATAACGATTTTAAAACTGGTGGCAAACATGCACCTGGTGGTCTTGGTTACATACAATTTTTAAGATCGCATCCTGTCATCTGAGATGGCTTTAATGGTTAGATTTGTGAGAATCTCATTCTTTTTTCATTCATTTATCATTTTATATTGCTCCACATTTGAACGAGTTTACTTTCGAATAGAGTTATGTATTGCTTAGACAGTTTGTGTTTTAATTCATTTTAAAATAAAAGCGTTCGACTTTGTAAAATATCTTTCACGATTTTAGTTTTTTTACGCAAGACTTTATATATGTATATATATTCACAATCATGGATTCGTCTACTTTTTTATTCATCCATCTGACTTACTACCTTTTACTTTCTTAGTGTTATATAATCTCACTAATTTCGAACTTTCGATTGTATTTTTCCGAAATGAGATTATCGGCATCTCAACTTTATATTAATCTTATCCAATGATTGGTTAGTCAACTCGCTAGCACACAACTATCTGTCAATATTTTTTAAGATTCCTATTTTTCAATCTACATCTCTACTTAGATACGCACGTTACCTGGCAGGTATTGGCTCTTCAAGTTCAGATCTGTCAGCCTCTCGCTTATTGATGGAATGGAACTCATGTGTTGAGGCCCTTACTTCCCTTGCCGATCTTGTCAAGAGAGCTAGCGCATTCACAATAACTCCATATCGACATACTGAGGGAGGTGGGTCTAATGAGGATAGTCTGCATCCTGTCGCTCCTGAAGCTTTCAGTCTGATGAATACTTTGCTGCCAATTCTTATGCCACGATGTCGTCAATTCCTCGAAGCACTGCTTCGTGGAGGTATGCCCCTCTTGGACAGTTTGTTCAGGTGAGTAGTAAATCTTTACTCTCATCAGCATATGAAATAGGATAATTGGAGAATATTGTCTTGGCATACCTGATATGTCTATGAGTTCACAAAATACTATATCTTAAGGAGAAGACAATTCGTGATCCTGATTTGATGGATTCAGAGGACGAAATAAAATGCTCTATGTAGCATCCTTTATTTTTACCTCCTTAATCGCTTCAGTGTGAGGCTATTTTTTTTATAAACTTGCCTTTAATAGGTCTTGATGGTTTTACACAAATGTTTTAAATCGTATTTACTGAGATTCTACTAGCATTCTTTCATGGAATTCATATACTCTTTTATATGAACTTCATTAGACTCTTATACTTATTTTTTTCACCTTCATCGCAGGACTTTATTTCCACAAGCATCTATTAATGTATTAGCCTGACGTCCACATTCTTTTTTTTGTTTGCCCTATTTATGTTTTAATTTGGTTTTTATCAAACAGTTTGCATTGTTCCTTTCGGAACATGAATACATAAAGTGATATTATACAGGTTTATTATTAGTCTTCAGATTTTGTCAAAACTACTCCTTATATTTCTTGTCTGGCCTTTAAATCTGGCTAGAAATTCGATTTATTCAAGATTCAATTAAGCTACTTCTACACGAATATTTAATTTGATTATTTAGATAAAAACTTATTGCATTCATACTCATAGGCAGCACTGCGACCGTGTGGCTACTTTGTTGCGCAATGTTCAACAACTGACGCGTTTTCTGCACCGTGCTTGTATACATGCCAAATTGCATCGGGAGCTCCAGCTCTCTCAATATATTCCTCGGACTCGTCACTGTCTCGAAAGTTTCGTATTCAAGGTTAAGGTAATCTTTTCTTTCATCCAATTCATCCTATTTTCCTCACCTAATAATGGGATATTGTTCATATCACAGGCTTAGCATGATTTATCAGCCATATTATGAGTTTGTCAAAACAATAAGCAAATGGAGACGAAAAGCCGGTATAGGCTAGATACCAAACCTCCTTCAGACAAGTAACGAAGCTCCGCTTTGATAAACATAAAAAAGAGTATTCAATCTAGTTTGGAGTTTTTAGAAACGACGAAATAGCTGACTTACTGCATGGCCGCTTATTTATGTTAGAAAAAGTTATATTGCTTGCTAATTATGAAACATTAAATATGACGAAATATTTGAATTAACGACTTCATAATGATACAGTTAAGTTTTGTCACTAGTTCTAAACAATTGAGCTTCTTTAATGATAACTTAAACATTTATAGATTCTTTACTTTGACGATACCATAATTTGGGAATTTAATTGCTCGAATCTTATCAAACATATCATAGCCCGTATATACGCACAGTAAAATAGAATGTTGCTTTCCCGGCCCCTGTTTTGAACAGGTCAATTTAGTTGAGCCATTTGTTAACTTGCCATTTTCCAATGAAGCTAAGTCTTTTGATTCTGAGATATA